GAGAAGAGAGAGGAGTAGAAAAAAGAAGAAAACGTGAAAGGAGAAGAATAGAAAGAAAGATAAATAAATTGATAGCTGAGGCCCCTGTCATGATGTGTGTAGCACTGCCTCATAATGTGTGCAGCAGTGCCACAGGGAGAAGGCTATAGCTCTTCCCGCTGGGTGGGTGGATTTGCCCTAGGCAGAGGGTAAGGGGCTTGGAGCCAGCAGTGGCATGTGGAAGGGAGAGGAGAGAAACAGAAAAGAAGAAGAAGAGAAAAAAGAGAGAGAAGAAAGAAAGAGAACAAATGGAAAAAATACAACTGTGCTCCCTAAGACTGACTGTGATGGGAAAGAGAGAAGGAAAAAATAAATAGTAAAGAGATAGCTGATCCCTAATTGCCTGAATGTGGGGCTGGTGGGGTTTCAACCCTGCTGCAAGGTGGCCAGGTTGTGTGCCCTTTTGGTGTAGTGTTCCACCAGTTTGGGCGGAATTGCCCTAGTTGGCAAGATCACCGCAAAGGGTAGAGGAGGTTTCCTCAGCAGCATGGAATGCTGTAGAGAGCTGTCACAGTTGCCTCATGTGGTGTGCAGTGCTTCCACAGAAGGCAGGCTGGAGTTCCCCCTACTCTTTGGGTGAAGTTGCCCTAGGCAGTGGGTAGTTGCCCAGAAGCCAGCAGTGGCATGTGAAAGGAAAGAGAGGGAGAGAAAAAGAGAAAGAAAGAAAAAGAAAACAAAGAAAAACAACTGAGACCAATTGCGGTGGGAAAGACAGAAGGGAGAGAGGAGAAAAAGTATAGAAAGTAAGTGGGTGGCTGAGACTGATCACCTGATCATGGGGCTGGAAGAATTACAACCCTGCCTCAAGGTGGTAGGGTGGTTTGCCCACACAGTGTAGAGTCCCACAAATGCTGGGCGTAATTACCTTCATAGGCAAGAAGTCAGGCAACAGTTCCTGCAGCAGTGTTGAGCGCTTGACATCACTGGTTTAGCTGCCTTGTGTCATATGCACCACTGCAGCAGGATGGGGGAAGTTCCCACAAACACGTGTAGGGCCCCAGGACAGGCAGAGCATGCCCCTGCCATGCCAAGGACAGACAGGACCTCCCCAGCTGCCTGCATGATCACTTAGGGTGGACAGTAGCTCCCCCCATTGGACTTCCAGAGTTGCCCTCCATACACAATTCTTTACATGCTAATTTCTTCAATTGAGATACCCAAAGTTTGCTGAGAAAATTTCCCATTTGATTTGACTCCTAAACTTTTAAATAAAATTAATCTAACCATCCTAGATGTTGCAAGCAGTTTGTAGTACACTACTGACCAAAAAGTTGACAGTTGAGACCCACATAGTTGGGCTGGGGGAAAAAAATTAAGGCCTGCTAATCTGCTTTTATAAAGAGTACAGCCATAAAAACTCTCTAGAACTCTGTTCATCTTTGTAACACATGGGACTCAACTCAATGGCTTAGTATCATTATTATTCCAGGTTCACAGTTTCAAAACTAAGCAGTCTGGGGTTGAGTAAGTTGAACAAATACATCCATATCACTGAGCCTACAGGTATTTATCTGAAAAGCACACACTCCTCAATTCAGAGGGAATATATAACAGGTTGAAATTGAGTTCTAAGGATATTTCTAAATAGATTCTACAATGAAGCTCTGAACATTTGTGCTTTCCATTGCATTCCTCAATCCTCATACCAATCTGTTAACTCAAAGTAAATATAAATATATGCATGTATAATTATGCATGTGTGTGTATATATCTAATTACAGTGTGAAGTTTGAGTAAAATATCTCATCAAATCAATGGAGGCAGTGTAATGTATTGTCTATAGCATGTGACTTTTAGTACCATATTAATTGAGTTCAAATTGTGTTTTTATGTGACCTCAACAATAACTCCAGTCACTGCTATGAAGACAATCCTGCCTCATAATGACCCTCTAGGTTAAGTTAATTAACCTCACTTCTGATATTCAATCTCTCCTCTATAATATAAAATAATGCTATTCAGTAACATAGGATGAATGGTAGCTATAACATTGTAAAACAAATAATACAGAAATGGAACTGATGGGGGGAAAATGATAGTAAAATAAACTAAAGTCTGCAGTAAAATCCATGTACAAATACCATGCATTCCTGTCTGAACACCGGAGATGTACCGCAAATTTTTCTCTGAGTTGTCTCGTGTCTAAAAATTACAAGGTGTGCTTGTCTATGAAAAGAAACAAAACAAATATTTGCAAAATCTAATAACTCCATAATATAACATCAAAGTACAGCATTTCCTGAAACGGAGAAACTAAAAACCCAAGATAAATTTTCCAAGAGGTTACACATAAGGGGAAAATTGTTTGATATAGTGGTCTGTATCTTCCTGAGGTAGTTCGTTTTTTGTGCCAACCTGGCTGATAAACACATGTGAGGTTAATTTAAAGGCGGAGGGATAAATGGCTCAGTGAGCCTCACCTTTCAAGTTTCTCAGGTCTCTTGCTTTATGATGGTCGGACCAGGGTTCAGCTGCCTTAGCCAGTTCCCTGCTTCATCTTTTACGGCCTACTTTCTCCAAGACATTCCTGAGGAAAAGCCTCATGGACCTACCCTGATGCAGCCCTGAGTGCTGGAGCAGCCGTGTGGAGACCCCTGCCAGGTCTGAGATGCTTACATGTTCATGGATACAGCTTAACTCCTGCAGTCGACATCATAGTGTGTGCTTTGTGAGATGGAGGAGGACTTTGCGGATTGCTGTTGGACATATGGGTTAATGGGTTAATGTTGGACTTGTGGGCTTGGGCAGGACTAGGTTGGGAGGTTTTATTATTATTTTTTTTTATATAAGCCTTTTCAAAGATATTTTTATTTTTATTTATTTATTTTTTTCTTTTAAGAGAATCATTTTATTGGGGGCTCATACAACTGTTATCCCAATCCATACACACATCAATTGTGTAAAGCGCATTTGTACATCATTTCTCAAAACATTTTCTCTCCATTTAAACCCCCGACATTGGGTCCTAATTTTTCCCTTCCCTCACCGCTCCCCAATCCCACATGAACCCTTGATAGTTTATAAATGGGTATTTTGTCATATCTTGCCCTGTCCGACGTCTCCCTTCATCCACTTTTTGATTGTCTGTCCCCCAGGGAGGAGGTCACACACAGTTCCATGTAATCGGTTCCCTCTTTCCTACCCATTCTCCCTTTACCCTCCCTGTTTTGCCACTCATACCACTGGTCCTATAGGGCTCATCCGTCCTGGATTCCCTGTATTTTCAGTTCCTATCTGTACCAGTGTATGGGAGGTTTCCTTGATGTGCACTTACACTTTATATAAAAATCTCTCATACATATGACTTTCTGTGGATTATTTACTCTAATGTACTCAGACATTGCACTTGTATAATATCCCTATGAGAATAGCTTCATGGAGTCAAATCAGCATAAAACCAATTCCAGTGGGCAAAAAAAAATCATACCTCAGCTTTCCTACTCTTTTACCACTTCTGACACTTGCATAACATGGCTCTCTTTCTGGCTGGCTGTTCATAGTGTCTACAGGGCTATATCAAACCTAGTAGGTTAAGGGGATGCTGTCTTGGGTCCACTAATGTGCTAGGAGAACTCTCAGAACTCATACAAGGCATTATACTTAACAACTACCAGGTTAAAAAAAACACTGCCATCAAGTTGATACTGATTGATGGCAACTTTATAGAACAGGATAGAATGAGACCTGTGAGTTTATAAAACTGTATCCCTTTACAAGAGAAGGAAACTCTGCCTTTCTTCCATGAAGTGGCATGTGGCTTCAAACTGCTTACTTTGACGTTCACAACTCAATGTATAACAAGTACTCTACCAGGGCTCCTTGCCAGTTATACAAGGTTTACCCAGAGTTCAAGCAAAATAGCCATTATCTTCTAGTTTCATTTTTCCACACACAAAATTTTAAAGTCCCCGTCATTAAGAAATATATGAATCAGGATCATCATAAAGAACAGATTCATAAGCAAGGTCTGGGCAGACTTCTAATGTTTAGTCTCCCTGTCTTAGAGAAAGCATACCACTTCCCTTCATTCAGGAAATTGCTCTCTGAGCCTGAATGTTCTGGACATTACCTGGTCAGTCCTGTAAGATAAAATAAATCATACCTCTTGAGGCTAATTAATGTTGTTTTCCCCACTAAGCTTTTTTAGTTCCAGCCAGTTCCCATTCACCATTGAATTTCGGTGCTGGAGGAGAATATTGACAGGACCACACATTGCTCAAAGAATATAAACCGATATGTATTGGAAGAAGTAAGACCAGAGTGCTCCTTAGGGACAAGGATCACAAGACTTTGTCTTACATACTTTGGACATATTGTAAGGAGAGACCAATCACTGGAGAAGGACATCATATTTGGTAAAGTTGAGGGGCAGTACAAAAGAGGAAGACCTCAACAAGAAGGATTGACTCAATGGGTTTATCAATGGACTCAGGCATAGGAACGATTGTAAGGATGGCACAGGACTGTGGGTGTTTCATTCTGTTGTACTTAGTTTTGCTGTGTTGGAACCAACTCAATGGCACCTGTAGTAGTTATATAATCTGTTGTCAATTTAAGAGGATTAAGAGTGAAGGGTTGGAGTTTATCCTGTCAGTCGTGTTGCAGCTTGATGGCCTCATTTAGAGGCAATAAAGAAATAAATAGCTCACTGGAGGCAGGACGCAGGATCACTCCCTGGGGGTCATTGAAGATGACAAAACACATGGAACTACCTAGTGCCCTGAGCTGCCTGTGCTGAGGTGCTTACACTAGATCCACAAGAATTCCCATCCACTGACCTGTGGTCTTCCTGCATTTGGCGTCATTGCATGTGTTTCATGAGTCTGAAGAGGACTTTATAGATTGGTATCAGACACATGTATTAATAGACTTATGAACTTGATCTGAACTGGGGTGGGATGTTTTCTCAATATTCAATTGCTCTTGTACATAAACCTCTTTCTTTTTTTTTTTTTGACTGCTCCGCTCACAGAGGAGTTTATTCCGGGTGGTGCATTGGCCTGGGTTCTTCGGGGAAGCCACACCTTGAGCCAGGGAGTTTCCTGCTGAGACTCACACTTCGTAGAGGATCACAGGGAAATCCACGTGGATGCGGGGGGTATCCAGCTTCACGATGCCCTGAGGAATCAGGTTCTTTTGGACCCGCCTCAGCTTGGCTCGTTTCTGCCCGTTCTTGGTGACGATTGTCTCCTCGTAGAACTCGTGAGCCAGATCCCCATCTTCGTCATAGAACATGGAGCCGCGGCGCGTGAAGACGAAGGGCGGCACAGCCCTGCCCCGCGGCCGCACCAGAGCTTGCTCAGCGCCCGCTGCGCCCGGCGCCTCTGGGCCGCCGCCCCCCGCCGAGGCGAAGGGCCACAGGCCCCGAGCCTTGGAGCCGCTGGCGCCCATGTCAGGGCCGCCGGTGCATGGCCGGCCCCGCGGCCGCTCTGCCCTCACAGAGCCGGCGGCGCCACCATGCCCAGCCTCGGCCTCCTCTCGCAGGTATAAACCTCTTTCTTATGCACATATGAGTTTCTATGAATTTGTTTCTTTAGTCTGCTCAGCCTAACAGCACATAACAGCAGCAGCAACAACAAAAACATTTACCAGCACAATTCCTCAAGTGTCACCTCGAAGTCCCAGACAAAGGCATACCACTTAACTTGAGGGTTATTACTCCGGAGGCAAGGGCAGAGGGCACTATCATTAGAGTAAAGCTAAGTCATTTACCCTACCGCCACATTATAAATATAAGAGTGTGTATAATATTGCCTTTACTTGGCCTGTCTAAGTAAATGTAACATGAATGAATTATAAGATAACTTCACTATAATCTGGATTAATTCAAACACAAAATCTGATTATCAAATATTCATAAACTGTATCAAAAGAGAATTGATTTAAATGTCCAACTGTTTTTGTCTGGTACACAAAGTCCCTTTATTTTCTTTTTTCAGTTTTAATATATTAAAGCAATGCATATGATCTCTGGATTTTTAGAGCCTCTATAATTTTATTGTCATTTACTGGGCTGCATAATGTATACATGTGAGGTTCTTGGCATTCCAGGTATTGGAGATCTCATCTCTTTAAGAAAATAACTGTAGAGGAGGAAGTAGCACCTTTGCAAGGGACTTCTCAGAGACCAGCACACAAAGGGGACATGGATACAGATATGCAACACTTCCAGACAGTAATATTCTCAGCATAAATATAAGTAGACAGAAGTTTGTTTAAGTAAAAGATCAGCAATTCTTGCCAGCAGATTCTTCTATGTTATTAGCCTTCGGCATAAGCTGGAGGATTACAGTTCCCCAACTCACCAGACCAAGTTTTCCCAGGCCTAAAGAGAGCCAAGGTGGCTGATCAAGAAAGCTTCAGGGAAATAGCTCTGTGTAACCAGCCTAGGAAGATAATAAGCATAACAAAGAAACCTGAAACCAACATACACCAGAGCATCATCCAGAGCAAACCAGAGCAACACCAGAGCAACATCCAAAACAATTAAGTAATACAGGCAGAAAAAATAAAATAAGCACTACACATTCATAAAACACACAAATGTAAAGTGCATTGACAGTAAAAATTACATACATATCAATAACCTCACTGAATGCTAATGAACTAAATGCACCAGTAAAATAGACAACAAAGAAACAAAACCCACCAATATGCTACCTACAAGAAACACACCTCAGAAACACAGACATGAACAAATTAAAAATCAGAGGCTGGACAAAAACATAACACGCAAACAACAACCAAAAGAGAGTACATGTAGCAATATTAATCTGTGAAAAAATAGACTTCAAGGCAAACAATGTAATAAGCGAAAAGAACAGACACTAAAATAATGATCAAGGGAATAATACACCAAGAAGATATAACTATAATAAACATATGTGCACCCAATGAAAAACCCTCAAAATACATCAAACAAATACTCCCAGAATTGAAAATGGATATAGACAGCTGGACAATAATAACAGGAAACTTCAATTCACCATACTCCAGGAAAGACAGAAGATCAAGGAAGAAACTCAATAAAGACACAAAGGAGCTCAACAATAAAATCAACAAAATTGATCTCAGAGGTATATACAGAATGCTCCACTCTGAAAAGCACATATGTTCTCTCCCCCTCCCACACATGGAACATTCTCAAGAATAGACCACATTCTAGGACACAAAGCGTGCCACAATAAATTCAATAGCATTGAGATCCTTCAACTCATCTTCTCAGACCACATTCTAGGTGAGAAAGTATGCCTCAATAAACCAAAAAGCATTGAGATCCTAAAATCAATCTCCTCAGACCACAAAGTTATAAAACTAGAAATCAACATGGAAGCAGACAGGAATTCAGAGACAAACAAATGGAGAATGAACAACATAGTTCCGTATATTCTCGAGTATAAGCCAACCCGAATATCTGCCGAGGCACCAAATTTTACCACAAAATTTGCATTAAAATGTGCTGAAAAACTCGGCTTATACTTGAGTATATAGGGTACTCAAAAATGGGTAATAAGGAAAATAACGGAGGATACTTTAAAATTCCTTGAGACAAATGAGAATAATAATACAACATAACACCTTTGAGACACAGCAAAAGCAATAATCAGAACCCAATATATAACAATCCAGACACAGGTAAAAAGAAGACAAATCCAAAATCAACACCCCAACAAAACACTTTCAAACACTAAGACAAAGACACAATAAACCTTACAATACAAGAAGTAACAAAATGATAAGAATAAAAGCAGAAATAAATGATATAGAAAGCAAAAAACAGTACAGAAAATATCAACAAGAAGCAGGTTCTTTGGAAAGGTTAATAAAATTGACAGACAAATGGAAAGCTAACAAATGAAAACACGGTAAAATTACATAGAATAAGAGAGTAAAACGGTGACTTTACAGCAGATCCAAATCAAATTAAAAGAATAACAACACACTATTATGAAAATGTTTATTCAAACAGATTTTTACAATATAGGACGAATGGAAAGATACCCAGAAAATATCATCCACTCAAATTAATGCATACAGATATTGAAAAACGTAACAGGCGCATAACAGAAGAAATAAAGCCTGTCTCTAGGAAACTTCCAACGAAGAAAATCTCCTGACCAGGTGGATTCACGGGGATTTGAATTCATTCAAGTACTCAGAGGAGATCTGACATCAATGCAACACAAATTATTCCAGAACATAGAAGAAGACAACAACCCTCACCCTCATTCAAGGAAGCCAGCATAACAATGATCCCAAATCAGGCAAAAACCTCACAAAGATAGAAAATTATAGACCAACGTGAACATAGAAGCTAAAGTCCTTAACTAAATTCTAGCCAATAGAGTGCAACATCATATAAAATAATAATATTAATAATAATAATAATAATAATTCACCAAGATGAAATGGAATTTATTCCAGGGATTCAGGGATGGTCCAACATCCCAAAAACAATCAATGTAATTCACCACATAGATAAGACAAATAATTAAATCCACATGGTCATATAAAGTCACGTGACAATATCCAACACCCATTTTTGATAAAGACTAAACAAAATAGGATAGAAGAGAAATTCCTCAATGCAATAAAAGCCGTATCACCCAACATCACACTCAATGGGGAAAATAAAAAAACAAGAGAGCAGACAAAAATGTCCTTACCCCCATACTGGAAGCCCTACCAAAACCTTTCAGAGAGCAAAAAGAAATGAAGAGCTTTTTCTTCCCCGCCCACCCTTTCAGGGAGCTAAACCACGCCCCTTACGAGCATGCGCCTCAGTGCTTCAGTGTGTGGTATTAAGCGGAAGTGCAGATGCGGAACAGACTGGAAAAGGCCGGAAGGGAATCCCAGCAGCCTTTGTGAAGTCCGCTGTCTGTGTGAGGCGACTAAGGGTTGCGTCAGCACCACGGTTGTGGTCAGCGTCACCTCCGGTGGCCCAGTGTGTCTCCTCCATCTCAGCACCTTGAAAAAGTGGCTGCATTGTCTGTGCTGGGGGCAATTGGCGAAGCTGTTGGCGACAGAGCGCGTTTGAACAAGGCCCGGGGTCCCAGGCTCTCTCGCTCCCGGAAGTGAGCCTTCAGACTGCGACAGCAGAGGGTGCCTGCGCTGACCGGCACAACCGCCGAATCTAGGACTTGGTGAGTCCTTTTGCTTGTCTAGCCCTCATTGACTGTGTGTTAGCACCCATCCTTCAATGTAAGAATGTGCATCTCGTTCTTAGCAACTGCCGTCCAAAGCTCACCTGTTGTCCCATTTGCAGGAGGATCCATTCGCAACTTGGCTATGGAGAATGTGGCCGATTCGGGACTCTTTCCTTGTAAATATGCCTCTTCTGGATGTGAAAAAACTCTGCCACTTGAGGAAAAAGCAGCCCACGAAGTGCTCTGTGAGTTTGGACCTTATTCCTGTCCGCTCCCTGGTTTTTCCTGTAAGTGGAAAGGCTCTGTCGATGCTGTTGTGCCCCATCTGATGCGTCATCCAATACCCATTACAACCCTAGAGGGACCAGATATAATTTTCCATGCTATCGGCATTGATCTTCCTGGTGCTATTGACTGGTTGATGATACAGTCCTGTTTCGGATTTCAGTTCCTGATAGTAATGGAGAAACAGGTACGATTTTTTGGTGACGAGCCCATCTTCGCACTTGTAGTGTTGATAGGAACACGGGAGGAAGCTGAAAAGTTTGTTTGTCAACTTGAGCTAAGTAGTCCTGGGCGGCGTTTGGCTTGGAAAGCCCATCCTCAATCTATTCGCGACGGAATTAGAACAGCCATTGCTAATGGTGACTGTCTAGTTTTGGACATCGTAGTTGCACGGCTTTTTGCAGAAAATGGCAATTTAAGATTGAATGTAACTATTTCCAGGTGTTCAAACGGTAATGAAACATGATCTGGCCAGTGTTTAAAAGCATTGCATTCAACTTTCATAGAGAAATAATGTATCCAGTAGCCAGCCATCCTGAGTTGTTTAGTAGGTGGAAGGTAGATATATGAAGGTAAATACAAGGAAGTCTGTTAATACACGAAACAATAGCATTTGTTAATGCAAATATAATATAAACTACGTCAACATCAACTACTTTAAAAAGTATATATATATATATATATATATATGGCGTCATTTGTATTAAAAGTTGATTCTATAGGATGCGTTGTAAAATAATTCTGAAATTTTCCTTATTGTAGATTGATTAGTACCATTGAGAAACTGAAAAAAAAATCTTGTTTGATGTGTGTACCTGCATGCAGGTTGTACATTTATGTGTGGGTTACTCCTCTGCAGTTAACTGACAAGCCATGTGAAATGCTTTACAGCACTTTGTGAGTCACTACAGAATTATGTTGTGTGTATTTTGGGGACAGGGTTGTTAATGCTTATTAACTGTACTTTTTAATTGAATAAATACATTTGATTTTTTGTAATTAAGGCTTTTCATTGGAAACAGTTTT